GCTCATCAGGCCATGCTCAGGCGGCGTCCCACATGCCACAATTGGAAGGACCCACAACTAAAAATATACAACTATGTACTGGGGGGATTTGGGGAGAAAAAGCAGGAAAAAACCCCAATTTGGTAATTTGTACTAAGAACCTTAAAAGTGGTCATCTTTGAACTAAAGCTCCACACTCTGAGCATACACACTAATAATTCTCCACACATGAAAATAGCCAAGGGTTTGTGCCATTTGTAAGCAGCAAACAAAAAAGGGACATTTAACCACCTGACAATGGGAGAATCAGATGCAGTGACGTGTTAGGACAAAGGTCAGGAAACAGGCCAGCTGGCCAAATCCAGTTGGCTGCCTGTTGCAGCCTGTGAGGTATGAATGATTTTTATATTTTAAATGGCTAAGGGGAGAAGAAGAAGAATATTACACGACACAAGTAAATTATATGAATTATATTAAATTCCCATTTCAGAGCCCTTTCCTCTATGCAGTGTCTCCAGCTACTTTCACACACAACGGCAGACTTCAGTTGTTGCGACAGAGACCCTAGGACCTGCCAAGCCTAAAATATTTAGTATTTGGCCCTTTACAGAAAAAGGTTTGCTGACCCCTTGTTAGAACATTGTGCAGCCATTAAGAGCCTTCATGAAGAGGTTGTAACAATGAGTTAAGCTACATGTCATATCGGTTGATAAAAAGGCAGGATGTAAAGATGAATGTACACATCAAAATGACATAAGAACATGAAAAAAGTTAAATTGTTTTGGGACTGATGCATGATACATTCCCTTCTACTTTTCATTTTTTCCAGGTATTCTATAATAGCAAAAATTACTTTCAAATGGTGAACAAGCTATTTAAAGGAAAAAGCAAAGCACACATATAGCAATCAATTTTACGGAAGTCAGAAAATAATCTTAGAACTCACCTGTCAACACAACTTTTCCAGATACAAAGATAAGCAACACAACTCGTGGGTTTACCATTCTATAAATAAGGCCAGGAAACAGTTCAGGTTCATAACTGTTAAGATATAAAAGGAAAAAGTTAAAAATAGCACCATTCAACTCCTCTCCCATGAGTGAAGACCCAGTATATTAAAACTGTGTATTAAAGAAGTTTTAAGAAGCTGTTCTACCAAAAACCTTCTGGCCATCTTGATAAAAGTAGTCTTGAGTGTCCTAAGTAGTTTCTCATAGCAGTCAAAACAGAATTCACTTTTGATCATAATATTTTTTTCAAGTGCAAGTCATGCTACGCTATTAGAAATTTGGACATCAGGTTTAATTTATTAAGATCTTGTTGGTTAAATGCTAACCGTCTTTCAAAAACGCCTATCAGTAAAAATATATAAACACATTTTCTAAATTTTCCAAGTTCCCCAATAATAAGCATATTTTGTATGCATTTATGAACCGCTAAAGTTAACATTTTTAGCAGATAGAACCTAAACAACTTTCTAGACCACTGTCATTTGTCTTTGGACGGGTGCTATATAAAGAAAACTAAATTATCCCAAGTTTTAAAAATTCAGAATTTGTTCCTATAAATAGTCACTCACTCATATTCACTACTAAATGGAAGCTGGCTTCTCCAGAGAACAAAGGAGGACAGGGCAAACAACTGCTTCTCCACACGCCACCTAAGAGGAGAGAGAGCTGGAAAGGCTTAAGGAGCCTCCAAAAAAAGAAGTCAGCAGATAAAAGGAAGCTGATAAAATAAAACTATTCTCAAAAAAAAAAAAAAACCTAATGGAGAACAGATATAAGAAAAAGAAGAAATCAGAGACGGAACACTATAATACACATGAATGTCTGCAGTGAAAGGGTGAATCCAGGCCACATGGAAAAGCTCCACTCCACTCTGCAATGAATAAGACCCACGCACCAGCAGATGTAAAACCTCTTATTGGCACCAGAAAGATGCATCACAGTGGTGAGTACTTGTAAAGTACATGGAGATTGCTGCAGGTGGACCTGTCTTTGTGGAACACCACTCTGTCAAGTCAATACTTCTGTCAAGACTTCTACCCACTAGCCACTTCCTAACACTGGGGAGACACGATACTAGCTGGAGCCCTGGAAAACCCCTCTGGGAACTAAGAGGTTTGAGCCAAGAAAGTGAAGGCTGGGGGCACAGAAGGAATGTTTTCGTTTGATCTTCCAACCGAATCTTAGGACTTTAAGAGGGAAAAGAAAAAGCAAAAGTATGTAAATGATGTACTGCATTTGGCTTTCAGAACCGTGGTTTTATGGTACCAGCATAATGATCTCTCGATTAGAGATTTACTTCATTTTATTTATTCTCTGCCTCATTTCATGAGGATGGAGAATAACAAACACCTGCCAATCTCTTGGCCAACCCAACTTCAGCTCATTGTTCAAGTCTCAGCTTAAATGTCACTTTCCTGAAGATGTCTTCCTTGACCCCCACACCTCCCCCATTACATTAAGTATCTATCCTGCTTGATGGTACCATGGCACGCCAAGGGGTGTTCACCTTCATATTTACCATATTTCATTATTGTTTTTGGCTTGTCTGTCTTCCTTCCTCCAAGAGGGCAAGGGACCATGGCTGTACTGATTGTCACTATCACTGTAGCATCTGCTACACAGTAGCCCCCTAGATTTTACTAACTTAAGAAATATTTATTATCAGGATAGCTTTGATTTTAAAATTCTTTGAAGGGAAGGGAGAAAAATGCTCAGGGAAAACTGAAAAGAATTATGGCAGAGAAAGATTGATGGAGAAGGTGCCCGATAACAAGGAAGACATTTGTATTATCAGATGCTGATAAATGCAAATTTGTAAAACTTGGGAAATTAAATGAACTTGAGGTTTTAATGTAAGACAAACGTGACCTGATAATTATAACTGATGTGTGCCATGGTCCCCAGAGGGTGACAGACAATAAAGGGAGGCCTCATTTTAAAGATGAAACCTGCTGAGAAGGGGGTGTTTCAATGCCTCCATGTCATGAATACACACAGTGGAGTTGTAATCTAAGGATGGAGGCTGAAGGGAGAGCATTTGGGGGAGGCAAGGAGGAGACCAGAAGGAGATAGCTGTGGGAACACAAAGCAAGCTTCCTGGCCAAATTTAAAAAGATGGGCGAGATCATAAAATGGGCTCAGAAGGAAGACAGAACAGTGATGAGCCCACTCCAAGTGGCTAAAAGCAGCACATCTGATAAAATTGCCAGTAGGGCAAGATGAGAATTTATCTTTTAGAAAGTGTAAAGGCACTTTACAAGAGGCACTACTATTGTTGATTTAAATCTGATCTGCAAAGATGACAATGTTGGCGAAAAAGAAATGAAATTATACTTGGGAGGAATTCACACATCATTTTAGAGCCCTAAATGGCCAGAAAGGGGAATGCTAAATCTAATATAGACACGTATCTTAGAATGCAGGCAAGGATCTTTCATAGGTTCAGAAAAAGTTGGTTCAGAGAAAGATCAACTGGAGGCCCACAGCTGAGAATCTTAAGAAGAGATAGCTCATGTGTTGAGAGACTCTTAAAAATCAAGGTTTTACTACAAATCTACAAATTATCCCAAGATCAAAGAAAGAAAAAGATACCTACAGAGGCAATGTGTCTTGCATGGGGACTTCCCAGTGAATTCAATGGCTGCTTCATAGGCACTCAATAAGCCTATGTTGGGAAAACAAAACTGATACTGAGGAAAAAACATACAATCAAGGGGAAAATAAACACTGCCTGAAGAGTATCATAAAAGCTAAATCTCAGAATGAACTAAAATTTTTAAAAAGTTAGGAAGAAACAAAGCAATTTTAAACTTCTATCAGGTCATGTGTCAAAGCACAGCCGTAGGAACCCTATCTACTCTGTTCAACAGAACGATTGCTCAAAGGCACAGAAGAGGAGAAATGCTGAGTGAAAGGAGTTAAATTCAAGCCAGATTAAGAGAATTGAAGAGCGTCTGTGATTCTAAGCCAGTTCAAGGGCCTTGGCCCAAGTGTATATCCCAAGGGGTGGTGAGATTTGCTGTTGATCAGTCAAGGTCCATCACTGCTCTCCAGGCCTCACTACCAAAGCAGTTGAGGGAGGAAGAGGAGGGGCATTTGCTGTTGGAATGGGAAGCTGACATCTGAAGAAGCCAGGCAGGCTGGAGATACTCCCCGAGGAATAAAAATATGCTGAGGAAGAAATTGTGGTGGGGGCTATAGCTACACAGACAAAAAGAAAAGCCTCAAACTCAGCAGGACAAAAACTGGATAGGATTGCCTTCATAGAATGTGCTGTGGCCATTCTTTGTCATCTTCTCTCCAACCCTTTCTCTTCTCACCTGTTGTCAGCTCCTTCAAACTTGCCTACCTCATCTCACACCCCTTCTCCTCCTGCCATTGCCACCAGCAAGCCAGGTGTGCCTGTTTTAGAAATCTGTACATCAGTGGGTCTCGACGTGTGGGCCTCTGGCCAGCAGCACTGGCATCATCTGTGAGCTCGTTAGAAATGCAAATTCAAGCAGTCTCTGGTGATATGTTTTAATAAGCTGTCCAGGTGATTACTATGCGATTTAATTTTGAGAATCAATATTTCAAAAGATTGGACACATATGGTAATCAATGAGGACTTAGGTATAGCATCTCAACTATTTCACCTACTGTATCTTTAAAAACAAATTATACTTTCTCTGAAAGATACATTATATCAGCAGCCCATAATACAACTTTAATATCTTGGTAAACTCAAAGTTAAGTTATATAACACTCATACCTACAGAACTGCTGATGGGTTAGCACCAAACCTTCCAGCCTGATGGGAAATCTCACGTCACAGCTTCCAACCAGGTTCTGAATTTTAAAATCGAGGAATCTGGCAGGGAACCCAAGCTTCTGTATCACACGAGCAAACTTTCTCGCTGCAAGTCGAGACTGCTCTTCACTGGGGAGGGGCAAACGCGTGAAAGAAGTCTTAATCACCACGTCCTCTATACTCCTTGTCCTGTGTTCACACACTTCTGATTGTATTTTCAGCATCTGCACCACGCTTATCTTTCAGTGGACACTGCTAACCTGTAGACTCAGAGGACAAGGACCTACCTCCTCTACGTTTGTCCCTAGCACCTAGTACAACGTACAGTTGTGGAACTGAATCATAAACAGATTTTTGTCTCAATTCGTCATCTCTCACATACAAGGTATTTTTCTTCTTTTACTTGTTTTAAATGTTAATAGGTAGAATTCACTATTCCACTGGGTCTCAAAGTGTGTGCTCAGATCAGCAGCATCAGTACCTGAGAACTTGTTAGAAATGCAGAGTCCCAGGTCCCACATCAGATGTGCAGACACTCTGGGGATGGGGCCCTCCCTCTGTGTTTTAACAAGCCCTCCAATGATTGTGATGCTCACTAAAGTTTGAGAACCATCTGTCTGGTCTACAAGTGTGTGCCATTTAGATGGGAACAGCAGCAACAAAAATAAGGACACATGCATACAGAAGAACTCAACATGAGGACGTAAGATATGTGCCAACTGAGGAGCATAGACAGGATGTCAGGACTTGGGTGTTTATGAGACAAATGGTAAAACAAAAAACCCCTTAATATATACTTCAAAACCTGCCCAATTTTGCTCAGTCTTTCTCACACAATTGTCATTCAACTCATATCCAATATGAGAAAGAAATTCAACCTGACTTTGTGGCCATGTTCTTCTAAGTTCTTCCCACCCTAAATCCATGTCAGCGAATGTGAAGCCCTGAGATTTGAGCTTTATATTTCACTAGATACTTTTCAATGGTCACTGCCAAAACAAAGCAATGAGTCATAGGGGTTGCCAAACAGGGTGGGCAAATCATGTCAACTGTGCCCTCTCTCACAAGTTGTCCCCATCTTTCAGTTGAAAATCAGACGCAACTGAAAGGAAAGCCAGATTAAACTTGTCTCCCGACCAACGGAAGTGGTTGATTCTCTTTTCCATCTAGATCCTTCTCAATTGCCCCTTTTATGTGTATTAATTATTTCACATACTTCACTTCATGTTGAAGCTCCTCATCTACTTCTAACTCCTGAAATGTCCCTAGCAAGGCCTTGAGGCCAAGTTAGCAGTGAAATAAATTGATTCCATTTTGAAAAACATTTCCCCTAAATGACCCGTTACATTTCCGATAGTGTTAGTGTTTATAAGGTCAAATTTCAAGAGTTCGCATAGCCCTGTAATTTCTTGGGCTATTAGCTGTGACTATCACACAGAAATTCCCATTCAAACAACTAACAGTTAAAGTCTGCATACATGCTTTTGTACAAACATTAGAAAATAAAGAACCTTGAAATGTCACCACCAGTGATGATACCCACTGATAAATTTGACCCTTCTGCACTTTTCCTATGCAAACACAGGTATCCCTCACTATGCAAACCATGGTTATTACAACTAAAGAGAGCAGGTTTGGATAACTTTTTGGAGATAATTCTGACATCTCTTACGCTAACCAAACTTTCACAACTCTCTATCCAAAACTCAAGAACCAAATACTTGTTATCTCTTATTATCTGAACTCACTATCCAAGCTTTCAGGACCAGATTTTAGGAACCAAATAAATTCAGACAGGGAAAGATACCCATGAACATGTGTCTAATATGAGCATATTTTAAAGTGAAAGTTGGATAATAAACTTACAATTTAATTGCCTGCCCCCATGAATGTAACACGATGGGACCATCCTTCTAATTCAATATATGTGTGTGTTTTAATGGCTAAATAAAAGTTTATTTTATGATCTAATCAAAACCCTATTACTAGATGTTTAATTTGTTTTCCCAATTTTAAACAATGCTGAAATGAACATCCTTGCAGATATCTTGCAGAGCTGTCTCCATTAAAAATGGAGATTTCTAGGTCAAAGAACACACAGATCAACAGAAGAACCCAGAAATTTACTCGGACACACATAAAGAAACTAACATGTAAAAACAGGTAGGGGAAAAAGGGAGTAAGAATAGATTCTTCCATAAACATATTGGGGCACTGACTGGTCATTTGAAAAAAAATTATTTCTCTTCGATTGAAATAAAATTCTAGATCTGCTCTGCCCAATATGATAGGAACTACCCACATGTGGCAATTTAAATTTAAATTAACTAAAATAAATTATTCAGTTCCTCTGTTGTATTAGCTATATTTGTGCTCAGCCACATGTGACTAGTGGCTACCACAATAGACAGCAGAGATAGAGAACTTTTCCATCATCTAGAGAAAACTCCAGATAAATCAAAACATCAATTTCCTTTCTTCAACACAAAGCAGGACCTAAAAAAGGCCAGAAAAATATATGGAGGTCAATGTTTATGTAATGTTGTGCATGGGGAATGCCTTCCTGAGCATGAAGCTAAATGTTGAAATCATAAAGAAAAAAATTGGATAGACTGACTATACACAAATGTTTAATTTTGTTAAAAAAAATCGTAACACTATTAACATTAATCTGAGAAAAGTATTTACAGTACAAAATGGTGGAAATACTTAACTATTAAAAGACAAATATCTGCATAGATTATTGGGCAAAAGACACAATGGGCCTCGGACAGAAGCCCAGAGGGCGGGGCGTCCCCCAGCTGCCGTTGCCCGCCCCGTGGGACTAGGGATTGCCGGAGATCTCGGAGAGGACCGGGGCGGGGGAACTTTCAAAGGCGGGTCCGGCGACCCGGAGGGGAAGCGCCGGAGCTCCGCCAGGCAGCAGACAAAACTCTCTGTCTGCCGGTAGCAGAGGGGCCACGCTGAGCATTCAGAGCTCCCGGCAGAGGCCCGGAGAGAAGCCCAGAGGGCGGGGCGACCCCCAGCTGCCGTTGCCCACCCGGTGAGGCTAGGGATTGCCGGAGATCTCGGAGAGGACTGGGGCTGGAGAGAGTTCCAGAGACCCAGCTTAGTAGCCTAGGGGGAAACCCTACAGGCTCACAGAAGCCTTAGGGAAAGCCTCTGCACAGCACCAGTAGAAGGCACCCAGCCGCCAGCCACAAGGCTGGAAGACCCCAGGGCAAAAGCAGCATAGCTAGGTGAACTAACCACAGACTGTAGAAGATGCCAATAGCTCTCCTGCGACCCATAGAGGACAAGTGAGATTTTGTGGGTGCTGACAGCAATGGAGCGACAAATATAAGTGATCCCACCCCTGGCCACTGGAAAAGCCCATAACACCGTTGCAGACCCCAAGGAGGGAGCACATCTAGGTGGGCCACAACAGTAGGCACCAGCAGCCTGAAGCCCCCCCTGTGACGGCCCCCACGGCAGAGGAGGGAATCCAAAGGACCACTGTGGCTACGAGGAGGGGCCCAGACCCAGTTAGCAACTGCGGACAGGGTTCCTGGTTGGTGAAGTATAAACAGCTGCTCCCCCCACCGCAGCAGCTGAAACAAGTGAAAGGAGCAACTAAACTCTATCTCCATGCGGAGGCACAAATCAACAACATCAAGCAATATGAAAAAATACATTAAATCTCCAGAACAGAAAGAAAATAACAAATACACAGAAAACAATCCCAAAGAAAATGAGATCTATAACCTAAATGATGATGACTTCAAAACAGCCATCATTAAAATACTCAATGAGTTAAGAGAGAATTCTGACCGACAACTCAACGAGTTCAGGAGCTATGTCACAAAAGAGGTTGATACGATAAAGAAGAACCAAACAGAAATATTGGAAATGAAGAACACAATAGAGGAGATTAAGAAAAATCTAGATGCTCTGAACAGTAGGGCCGATAATATGGAGGAAAGAATTAGCAATTTGGAAGATGGCAATATAGAATTGTTGCAGGCAGAGGAGGAGAGAGAAGCAAGACTTAAAAGAAATGAAGAAACTCTCCGAGAATTATCAGACACAATTAGGAGATGCAACGTAAGGATTATAGGTATACCAGAGGGAGAAGAGAAGGAGAAAGGGGCAGAAAACCTATTCAAAGAAATAATGGCTGAGAACTTCCCAAATCTGGTGAGGGAGATGGATCTTCAGGTGACAGAAGCCAATAGATCTCCAAACTTTATCAATGCAAGAAGACCAACTCCACGGCATATAGTAGTGAAGCTAGCAAAAGTCAACGACAAGGAGAAAATATTAAGGACAGCCAGGCAAAAGAAACTAACCTACAAAGGAACCCCCATCAGGCTATCAGCAGATTTCTCAGCAGAAACTTTACAGGCTAGAAGAGAGTGGAATGATATATTCAAAAATCTGAAGGACAAAAACCTACAGCCGAGAATTCTCTACCCAGCGAAAATATCCTTCAAATACGATGGAGAAATAAAAACTTTCCCAGATAAACAAAAATTAAGGGAGTTCATTGCCACAAAACCTCCTCTTCAGGAAATCCTCAGGAAAACCCTCATTCCTGAAAAATCCAAAAAAGGAAAGGGGCTACAAAACCAAGAGCAGAGGAGATAAGTAGAAGGACAACAACAGAGAGTAGCAGCTCTACATCAGAACAGATTAAACCATGGGACGAGAAACAAAGGAAACTGAAGAAAACCGGAAAACAAGACACAAAATGGTAGTGGTAGGCCCCCACGTCTCAATAATCACTCTAAATGTAAACGGATTGAACTCCCCAATCAAAAGACACAGAGTGGCAGGATGGATCAAAGAACAAGATCCAACAATATGCTGCCTCCAGGAAACACACCTCAGCCCCAAAGACAAACACAGACTCAGAGTGAAGGGATGGAGAACAATACTCCAAGCTAATAATGAACAAAAGAAAGCAGGTGTCGCTATACTAATATCAGACAAGGTAGATTTCAAAGCAAAACAGATAAAGAAAGACAAAGAGGGACAGTATATAATGATAAAAGGGACTCTCCACCAAGAAGACATAACACTTATAAATATATACGCACCCAACACAGGAGCACCAAAATTTGTAAAGCAACTCTTAATAGAACTAAAAGAAGACATCAACAACAATACAATAATAGTAGGGGACCTCAACACACCATTAACACCAATGGACAGAACATCCAGACAGAAAATCAACAAGGAAATAATAGAATTAAATGAAAAATTAGACCAGATGGACTTAATAGATATATATAGAACACTTCATCCAAAAACAGCAGGTTACACATTCTTCTCAAGTGCACATGGAACATTCTCAAGGATTGACCATATTTTGGGAACCAAAGCAAACATCAATAAATACAAGAG